CCTTAGAAAGAATATTGTTGTCTGTTCTGAGATGTTCTTGGAGCAAAGATCTTGGAATCTTCCGCTTTTAACGAAGCTTAAATTATAATTCAAATTTACGTAGTTTCTGCAATTGCTAAAAGTTATAGTTTCATACACAATCGAAAAACTGTTGGAGTGTTTTTTCTAAAGAAGTTGTTGGCCAAATTTCATGATTCCTAAGATTTTTATTGCTTTTAACACCGCAGTTAACATTTCGCAGTACTTACAATGATGAATTTGATGAGTACTTAGAGTACTTGGCAAACTGGTAAGAGATCTAATTTACAAGGTTTCAGGATAACTTCATAAGGCAGCTATCAGGGTATCTCAGATACGTTTTATAGTCTTATAGTAATCAAAGAGAGCTCTTGATAGGGGAGTAAAAAGATATAGAAACAGTCCGATGAATGTTGAAACTGGGTTGGCAAATTCTCATTGTGGAACAAATTTAGTATAACCAAGGAATTGCTCAGACACTACGCTAATGCCGGTGTCTTGACTATAACGTCTTCAACCATGCTCGGGATTGTTTGAGGGTGTCGCCAAGCAAATAGCATATCCTCTGCAGGTCAACAACCACGCTTAATGTCAATATGTGCCATTATTCCATGAAATGTTTTGGCACTACGATCCCAGGCGGCTAAGTGTGAGTATATGCGCAGGTAAACATACCACTGAGAAAGTAAAAGTAATGTAAGTAATCTCGATAGCATTACAGAATTTTCAAAATATCCAGTCCTTCAAATTTATCAAGAGCGATAGACAAAGTTCATCATGAATATTTCGTATAAATAGATAACTAGTAGAAAAGCAGGTCAATAAAAATTTTTTATCAAAATTGAGAGAGCAAACTCACAAAGTTGCAGGCGAAAAAATCGTAAAGAAAACTGCAGTATGAGTATTCTGACACCTGTCTGAATGGGATGACCGAATTCTGGCGAAGTGTCAGAACGTTACACAATATGATTTACGTAAGCACAATAAGTGACAGTTGTCTCGGAAAAGACACATTATTCATAATAATGGTAACGAAATGATTAAAATAGCATTCAGAGAAGATGCACGGCTTAAGAATACACTTACTGCAGGCCACGAACCTCTCCAACCTAGAACAATGGCGCGGGCCGAGATATGCAGTGGACCTCAGCACCGCCTGCACTTTCAAAAGCGGGGAAAAGAATGTTTGAATGCAGAAACGAAACAAAAAAATGCAAGCACAAGGAACCTGCTCGAGTACGGAGATTTCAACGACTGCGCGGTGATTATTACCCAGAACATCGAAAAAACCTCATTTGATGACTATTGCGCGAACAAAGGATTGACAACTGCTCCATTGGGAAAACGTGCACTTATGGAAGGTTAATGAGGGTAAGGGTTGCGAGTAATTAGAACTTTCACCACTGCGGGGTTCCACAGCTAATTGGATTTGGTAACTTCAGCAGCTCAGCAGGAAGAGATAATCCTCTAAGGAAAGAATATAAGCGGCAAATTACAGGACTACAAGAGCTCTACACATTATGTCGATGTCTTGCAGAATCGAAGGGAAAGAGTTCACTGCTGTTTTGTGTGACATGCCAAATGATTTATATATTTTTATATATATGTAGATTCGAGGCAGGCGACTGTGGAGGTGAACCTTATAATAATTATCTTTCGTGATCAGATACAAGGATGGAACCTTAAATAACAGTTTGACATTTAACGCGTAGAGGACGAACGTCAAACGGTCAGAATAAACCAAAATGAGCAGGAGCCAAAGAAGGAAATGGAACGACTCAACCATTCGTTCAAGTTGTAATGGATCGAGGGCATAGCTTGTTTGTCATTCGCTGAACAACGATGAGGTGAAATGACAATACATCATTTGCAAATACCACATAAATGGACAAAAGGCAACGATGTGAATGATCAGATGACCAAATTCGGCATTAGCCCAATGCCTAGTTGTTGTCTTACATCTCATACTTAACTAGGCATCGATAACAATTCAAAAGGCCATAGATGACATCTCGGCCTGGAATAAAGGAAGAAAGGGGCTCCTATTTAGGAAAGATAACGCAATACTGCAGGGCTTAATCGAGTTCGATAGGCCACCTGTGGGTAATAAGTTTTATGAGGCCAACATTCTCAATGGATGACGCGATGGCGGTTCGGGATTGACCTAGCCCTTTGTGCTCCATCAATGAATGATATGGCGGAATGAAAAAGAAAGTGGGTAGAATAAGAATGCCAAATATTTTACAGTAAAGTTTTTAAACTCAGCATATGACAAGCCTGTATAATTCATACAACTCAAAAAATAAGTAATTTATCAAAAGAGAAGGCAGGAAAGCCTTTATGCTTTTCAAGTGTACTAAATTACTAAATTCTCGTGGTATTCTCAGGACCTCAAGAAATCCCAAAAGAGCAGAGATCACTGAAGAGAAGTGGATCTTCCCAGGCGTGCTGAGAAGCTAGTTATCCTCATATGGTTGGATCTCCGAGGATGCTCTCTCACACGAAAATGCAATTTTGCGGACAACAAGCGATACCTTCATACGAAGGCGTTCGTTTGGAAAACATCTGGGACCAGAAATAGTTTAGGCATGAAAAATACGAGGAAATTGAGAATTTGAGATAGAGGAGCTGATTTTATTTTCATTTTATTTTGTTTCACGAGGATATGTCCAAATTAATCAAGTACTTTTTCGTAAAGTTTTCTACTACAGAATGTAAAGAATTCTGTAGTGTTTCAAACCAACCGGATAATTTCAAAAAATTTTTTGTTTGCGTTAGCTTTGAACATGGGAGCTTAACATACACAAAAAATGTACACTACGCGGTATTGAAATGATTTTTTTGCAGGAAAACTTTCTAAAACTACAGTAATGCTTATGAAGAATATGCTAACTACAGAGCAGTAGCGATCGCAGCTGGCAAAGGGATTTCATAGACTGATGATTGTTTACGATTCTGCGAGCACATCGGTATTAGTGTTCGTGTGACCTCTAAGACAACTGCTTACCACCGACATACTGACAGCTGACCTTTGATAGGCAGATTTTGAAAAAACAGCAAGAGTCTTTATGTACGGCTATTTTTCATGCGCTCAACACTATTGGAATTGATCAAAAAATTCAGCTCATTTCTATGGGTAGTAGACAACAAAAGCCGAGAGAAATTAGCTATGTCGAAATGAATGAAAAGAAATCCAGAGACCAAAAAGTTGGTTCAAAAGTGCTTTTTTGTAACTTTATTTCTGTTTTTTTTTGTCTTTTTGGATTTTCTCGACAATCATCCAAGCAAACACGTCAAAAAAGATAGTTGCTAAGAGAAAAATCTTGCGTTTGATTATTCTTTGCCATTTTAACTGTTTTGATCCTTTGATACGTGTAAAAACAAAAACAGAACGAGTACACCGTATAGTTAGCACCGAATATTCGTGTTCGAATAGTTTATTCGAAATATTCGACTATTTGAATATTCGAATAGTCGAATATTTGAGAAAGTTTATTTATTCGATTATTCGAATAGTCGAATAAATGAGAAAGGCCTATATTCGAATAATTCGTTCATTCGACGATTTCGAAAAATGACTTATTCGAATATTCGTTCATTCGACGAGTTTCAAATCAAGGTATTCGAATACTCGTTCATTCGAGTAGTTTCAAAAGATAGTTATTCGAATATTCGAATATTCGAATATTGCGTTCAAATATTCGAATAATATTCGAACATTTGTTCGAAAAAATCGAATATATTCGATCAAGTTCGGTTATTCAAGTATTCGTTCATTCGAGTTTTGGAATGTGCCAATATTCGAATATTCAAATTCGAATAAAATGAAAATCGAAAATCGAACAATATTGGTTCATTCGAAGAATTTTCGAAAATCAAATACTCGATATTCATTCGTTCGAATTTTTTTCGAAATCAATTATTCGATATTCATTCATTCGAAAAATTTTTGTGAATTGATTATTCGATATTCGTTCATTCGGAGAAAATTTCTGTTCGTTACAACTATAGTACACCGACCTAATAGATTAGAAAAAGGAAATCCAAAAAAGACCAGATTGAGCAAAAATATTCGCAATTATTTCAGAAAGGACTGCAAAGCCCGAAAGAATTATGGCTTATCGGGCACTACCACAACATACAGAACTATTCAGACAAAATTCGTTAATTAGACCAGATCCATAAGCGATAACGAGCGATTGCCTGAGATCCTATCGCAGTAGATGATGGACCATCTCCAGGGAGCACACATCTGTTAAATGGCATGACATGTGTGATGACAATAAGGCACGAGTTATCCTGCCTGATGGCTGGTCACTTTGGCCAGGTAAATCGCCATTTGTGGTTTCATGCATGACGAAATGTGTTACGTGTCATTAGCTTTGCAATGACCGTTGTGTGAAGCAGTCAAGCAGCAATTCTAGCACGAAATTTTGACTCTGCGACGGTGATGCTTGGTTAGAATGGTCATCCTTGATTTGTTATGGCTATTTTATAGTTTGTGCGCGGGTCGAGAAAGTTTTTCTGATAATTTCTCTATGTCACAACGTTGCAAAAACTATCCAAGACCCCGTGCAGGCAGGACTCGGCACAGGTGACTTATAAGCAAACTGAATATCGTTTTTGGGACAAAAAGCAAAGGGGATATCATTCTGCGATCTGAAAAAAGTCAAGCTAGAGTTTTTTCAGTCGACGTTTTTGATTTTGGGTCAAGGAGGACTTCAAAATTCTGCGAAAGTCAGGTGGAATTTCATTTCTTGCATATTCGGAAACCCACCTCGTGCCGAGTCCTGTGCGCAGGAATGGTCCATAAAGTCCTTGGAATTTTCTCCGTACTCCAACGATGTAAAAACCATCTGAGACCTGATGCACCCCACACCTATTTACAATGAGTGATAACAACAGCTTCCACTGCTTATCTCCTTTTTTATAGCTCAAGCTTAAGGGGTAATTTTCATTTGTACACTTTGTCGAATGATGTGATGTCTTCTGCCACACAGTCTTCACCCGGTTACACCTATCCTTCCTTGCCTGAGCAACCTCTTCGCCTGATATTCTTGCTTTCCAGCTTGTCCGGATCCACCACCAACCAATCATACCTATTCTAAAGCTTTACACGCACAGTTGGAGTTCTATTACGATTATACAGCATGGCTTATGCGTTTTGTTATTGAGAGAGTTGACGATGATACCATATATGTAAGTTTTCGGGCAGACAGCTGTTACAGAGGATGTTCTGTTTAGAGAGTGAGCTTAATGATTAGAGATCCCAGACAAACGAGTATCTATCTGTTGCAAGATGTGTTCAAGAATGTTCGTTTGTATCATATAGAGAATTAGCGGTTTGAAAGTTTGGCTGCATGTTTCAGGGTTACATTCTCTTCGTAGTAATAGCCAGTATCGTAATTTCTTTCATACTGTTGACATCGTGTCTACTGGCCATGACTTGCGGCAAGCGCAGAAAGGTGTGGAAACTCTCTAATTATTCAACCATTTCCTCAAACTTGTTTGTTTAGAGGATGCCCACAAAACGGAAAATTGGAACAGCAATGGTCTCGTTTGTATTCTGTTTTGCAATGGCTGCAGCAGGAACTTATCTAATCACGGATAGTGTCCAGCATATACAAAATGCGCTCTACTACCTACCTAAGCAAGTGAATAAGTCTATGAAAGGTACGTACTTGAAGGAACACTGGATGCAGGATCAATTACACGATTTCCTGAGAGCAAAGGCCTTGATGGTACATAGTAGATTTTCTGCTACCCTATTTTCAGGTGTATAAGCCGCACCCTTTTCACTCTAAAGGCGAACACGCCAAAAGACTGACTGTCATCATGGAGCGCGTTAAGTGAGAGCAGTATGCGATAAGGCGACCGCTTCGCGAGACATATGCGCGGCGGCGCGCCTGGGTCTGTTCGCGTTTAGAGCAAAAAGGGTGCGGCTTATACACCTGAAAATAGGGTAATAGTAAACGCAAATTGATAAGACAACTCTGCATCACCCTCATAGCAGATGAACTCTTTAGTCCTTCCTTTCTTCCATGGTGGCAAATTCACTAGGTGATCCAATTTATAGCTTTCTATATGTACAGCGCTCCGGCAAAGAGTGTCGCTAGGATTTCACAGCTACAAGCAGTCCCCCAAATAAGAAATCAGTAAGTCCAGAATGAATATTTAACGAGTAACTATGAGGCTTAAAATTCACCCCCGACGTGATCCGGACCGATCCACGATTTCAAATCGCAAGATAGGGTAATCACATACCACAGCACAACCAAAGAGTTAAGTCCGACTCGATCCCGGCCCTTCTGTGCCAAGAAATTTGCCCAGAGGAAAAGCGCAACTTGGCCCGAATGGCCGACGCTCCCGCTTTCCGCCACGCGTTTCAATATGTCTCTCCACTTGGTGTCCACCTCCATCTCAGACAGTCGAAGGGATATCTTCGGGGGGGGGGGGGGCAAATGGCGCGGGCCTGCCACTTCGCGCTGCGGAGCCCTCCGGAGCCCTTCCATTTCACCCATTTTGGTGCTCCGGGGCTCTCCCAAATCTGGCGCACCTCCGGAGCAGAGATTTGGAGTCCCGGAGAGGGGTCCCATTCGCCTGCTTGTGACGTCACGGTGAAGGCACAAAAACGGGGTTTCTGTGCATTTCATACGATTTTGGACCCGTATTGAGTTAGACAGTGAAAAGGCTTGAGTATAGAAATGAGACCGAAATAAGTGAAATCTGAGAGAAAAACCTTTGAAACGGTTGAAAATCTCCAAACTCTCGCCTCTCAAAACCGCATTGGGGCCGCTACTGCGCATGCAGCACAGTTCCGGTACAGTTCGAGAATTATGCTAGAACTGTTCCGGAGTTCCGCATTAGTAAGAACCCCAGCCTTGAACGCAGCTAACTTTCCATTTGGACTCGGGAGTGGAGCATAGAGCGTGAAAATCGGCATTAGGCCTAAGGCATACTTCGTGCGATTCCGGTCGCTGCGCGATTTGGCACAAGAGCGACTCTTCGTAATTCATCGTTCGTTAATGCGCTGCCCTTGGTCAGAACTTCATGTTTGGCCGAATCGCGCGAGGTATGCCTTAAGCTTTAGAGCATTACAAGGGAGTGGTCAGAAGTCGAAGTGACCAATTCAAGCAGCTGCATACCATTCTGTGCAGCGTAGAACGCTGATTTCAAATTTGTCTTTCATATCTGCTGACACCTTTGCAGGCGAAGTTATGAGTAGTTTCAGTGCGAAGAAATCGGGCATAAAAGTTGCGAAATTAGGCACACTATTGCCTTTTTAGCTCATTTTTAGGTATGAGCCAATGAAGTGACCTAGCTACATGTTTTGGTCCAGCATTGACTTGAACATGACTCTGTATGGCTAAATTTGCTCTTTAGAAGTATGATTTTTTAAGCAAAATAATGGCCTTCAATGACTTACAACTTCATCCACAAAAGCGTTCAGCAGATAAGAAGATAGATTCAGAATCAGTGTTTCATGCTGCATCTAATGTTATGCAGTTTGCTTCGATTGCCCTCTTCGAATTCTGACCAGTTCCTTGTCGGCACTTTAACACCCACATTTTATAGTCTTTTACGGCCTTTTAAGGAAATTGGGGTTACTACGAGGGGAGGGGGACAAGCGTGCTGATTACGTAACATCGAATTGTGGAAAAAACGATTTTCGACTTGGGAAAATAGAATTTGGGACAGGAGGTAAGCAACCAAGCAGGCAGATGGCAAAGAAAACGCAGTGAACATAAGGAACTGCAACTGCCGTGTACAATACCGCTCTATTCTTTGGCAACCCGCTTGGACACAGAAAGCCAGATTTCACGAATCGTTTCAGATCTTTGCTTACGCTAGGTTATACTCAGTGTGCTTATTCGTCGCACTCCTGAGCAACCTGCCGCTTGGAACGATTCTTAGAATCTGGCCTTTTGCTGTGTTTAAGCGGGCACTTCTCAATATCAAAACATGCGCTGTGCCGCGCTGAGTCGAACGGCGTCTTTGGACTAAAAATTCGTCCACTCTGAAGCGAGTTATAGCCACGCGACGGTGATGTCACATAAATCGGAGACCGTGCGTCCCTTCTTCAAAAAATACGAGCGGTATTGCAGAAGTTGGACACGAACACGGAATGGAGAGGAAAGTGTGGGGATAGAAGGACTGGCGATTTCTATAGTAGTTGATATGAACAGAGCAAACCGGGTATCCGAGCTTGTACTAATTGGGAAGCAGGTTGTTGTTCGAAGCGGCCTTTTTAGATGACATGTACACCATATTGAAGGGCATAAAATACTGATTCCAAATCTGCCTTCCTTATCTGCAGAGCGCTTACGGGCGAGGAGTCATGAGCGCTTATTGGGTCAAGGAATCGAATGTGCACGTAGGACTAAATTAGTATAGTTACTTTCTCTGTGTCGTCAACGTGATAATCACCAGAGCACTTTATTCAAAAACGCTCTAAAATGAAAAGTATATCACGCTTGGGTTGCATAATTTGAGGGCTAGTAAGATTTTAGCAATTCATTTTATCCAAAATGCACATCCAATTTTCGCTTGAAAAGCGCATAACTCCTCGTCTCCGTAAGCGCTCTGCAAATATGGAAGGCAGATTTGAAATCAGCGTTTTATGCCCTTCAATGTGGTTTACATTCCAAAAAGGCCACTTCAGATAAATAAGCTTTCCTCGTGAGATCCACATGCCACTGAGACAAGACTATACCAAATTACTCTGTTCTGATCGCCAATCATGATAAGAAGCAGATTCTCCGTCTCTATCGTAACTTATAATAACGGGCTAAGGATGTTTACGTGTTTTTGTGTGTGTAAGTCTGTCTGTCTCTACGAAATTCGTAGAACGTGTCCCAGCCAACCTCCTGAGCCAAAATTTTGCACAGCGCATGCTACCAACATAGAGTCCAATATACAAAAGCACGAGCGGATCCGTTTTGTAGATCCCTCAAAACCTGCGCGTCAATCGAATCCACTTGGCTTTTGGCCAGTAAAATTGAGGCTGTAGCACGACTATTTGCAAAGTCACGGCTATCTGACAAGTTAATGTGCAAGCCATGGACTCTGGCCTAAAAAAATTGAACTGAAGTTCATCACTTTGCGAAAACGGCGCCAAAAAAGATTTGGTTGCGTAAATGTTCTTTGCCAAGAGTTTATCCGATCATTTGAGGAGATTTTTGCACGGAGATGTAGCCCACGGTGATTATTGCATCTTATGGTGAATACTAAGACATAAAGTCCAAGAATCAATTCAAATTTGCACTTTTTCTTTTGGGAGCAGTTTCATTCACGCGAAATTACCGATCTCATATGGAAAAGCTTTTGGAATGAGTAACTGATTACAAATCATTCGTGATAGTCCGCATAGCGCGATGTGTTTCAATATCAGTATTGTGCGGAAATGAGTAAGTCGTACAGATAGTAGGGCCAATGCGAGCCTCTGCGAAGCAGAGGTGACGCACTGGTATAGAAAATTGCAGTAAAGTTTACTATGTTATGCTAATTATCAAGGATCAGACAAGCATTCATTCAAAAGCTTTGCCATGTAACTTTCTGCCGGAAAATTATTTTACTAGACAAATAAATGCAGATGTGACTACGTTATTGTATCGATAGAGCTTTCACCGGCACCGTCTTCCCCAAAAAATGTTTCTCGACTAGTTTCTGAGATGAGCATGGTTTGTGCATCTGGAGAAACAAAGTGAGTGCTCACCTCATAGTGGAACGAGGAGAGGAAGCTTAGTGTCGTTGAAACAAAAATGCTACAATGGATTTTAAGGGTTACAAAAAGGACCACATCTGCGATGATATTTGAGCAAATGAAAGTAGTTTGTACCGCCCATAGTTTACAGGAAAAGAGATTACAGTGGTACGTTCATGTGCGCAGAATGTAAGAAAACCACCTCCGAGGTTAGGCTTAAAGGCACCGTCCACCCCAAATGGGGTCGATGAGATTTTGATGCCTAAATGTAGTGGGGCCCCCAACTGTATACCTATCCAACTCGCGTTAGCAAAAGTTGCTTCCGAAGCGAGAAATTTGCTTCGGAAATCGCTCGAATGACAGATTCGCCAAGTTGGCTCCTCCCCTTTGAGTGGGCGTGACGTTTGTCCCGCCCAACCAATCACCAGTCTGAAGAAATCAGTAGCGGTTCTGAAAACGGGGTTTTCGTGGTTTTCGCGGATATCAGACTTAATATTCGGAATCAGGAGTATGAGAAGGCCTGGAACGGCAAAAACATGGAGGTCGAAATTTTGCTTGAACGGTGCCTTTAACGTGCAAGCGCCAGGTAAAAGACCTAGGGGTACATCCAATATGAACTTCATGGAGAATCAAGGCGGATCTGCGAGAAATTGGATAGGTTGAAGACTTACCTCAGGCAGGAGGACATGGAGACACCCTACAAGAAAAGCAGATGCTATGTAAGCGGGACCCATGCGAAGGTAAGAAATATTGTGCACTTATAATTCAGAAGAAGGAGTGCATGAGTCTGAGAACACTGCAACGGGCTTGCTTCCATGAGATAAAAGCAGCTCCGTTTCAAAGTGGTTATTGGAATTGTCCTTCACATCGTTGTCTTGATACACGGTGAAACTATGTGCTGGCAGCGTGGGCTGTGCAAAAGCTTGACTCAAGATCTATTTTGTAATCTCCTCTGCAATTTTTGTGACAGGCCAACGTTCAGCCCCCAGGCAGACACATGTGATGGTATTTGTCTAGCTCCTTAAGATTTCCCTCATCGATAGTTTTTATCCAAAATATAAACACCTCATTTTCTTTTTTTTGGCGGGACCGCAACTACACACTCAGTTGTGGTCATATAAATTGGTTCAGTTTGAGATTTTCAATCTCTAGATATTGGAAATTTTGTTGCTGGTTTCGTCGCGAATCTCCATTGCAATTTCAATGAAAGCGAAAAGTCTTTTCGAAACGATATCGATGCATTCATATTGAATACAGGAGGATTACTGCGTAGTCTTCGACCCAGAATCAATCCGCTACCTATAAGAGAGGTTTACAAACGCTTAGAAATAGAAAAGAACTTAATCTAAATTATTGAATTTAGGCTTTGGAAGGACAGCAGCAATGTCGAGTCAGTCTAGAGCAGATGAAAAACTTGTCGAGAAATCTATTGACTAATGTTGCAACACCATTGACTAATGTTGCGAGCGCAACAGAACAACTGGTAAGCTTTCCCGTGCCGTTTATGTCGTTCGGATGTATACATCACTATTAAGTTGCAAGTTTTTGAAAATGGCAGCATGGCCGTTATTAGGGCTGATTTTACTGAAACTCAGCAGAATTTAAATGGACTTCAACAGGAGGTGGGCTTGTAATTTGAATTTAACCGAGACAAGTCTTTGCTACATAGCTACGTACTCTGACAACCCTCATTTTGAGGGATAGAAGAGGCACAATTTCCACCTCAATTTGAATGAAAATTGTTTTCGACGAAGTTCTGGATGCGAAGGTTTCGCAAAAATTTCCTACGGCACTGATGCTTTTTGCATAACCAGTAGGAGGCACATCACTTCCGGAAAAATTGCGTGCAACAAAACACAAAAACGCTAATTTGCGTAGAAAGCCGCAGCTTTTATTTTTTTGTAAAGAACAGAATCTTGACTCATCATAAACCACTGGTCTGCTCTATAGAGTTGACAATGCTTTGAGTCTGAGAGCTGCATAACAAAAAAACTTCAACTTTTTTGGGATTATGGCCCGTAATGAAGCTGCCTCATTCGGCCTCAACTGGGGAAAGCTTCAGTTGAAGCTTCGACGAGTCAGCTCCGCCTCAGTTGAGCCATTACTTGGTAATTCCAACCATCCACATTGGTATAATTGAGTAGTCATGTTCATCCAAGTAAACAAGTCAAAACCCGTTCGCCAAACATTCACATTTTGTGATTGCTACTAGCGGCGAAGACGTGGCCGCACTTGTTAGATCTTGTCAAAATCCGTCGGTCTGCACTGTGGCTCCTCACCCAGTATGTTCAGATGTTAAACTAACGTGTATCGTAAGTTACTCATGAGTAATTTACGAAAATTTCCTCTAAATCTCCTCATTAGCACACTGTTTCGGGAGATCATCGCTCGAATCATCTGCGATAACTCGGCAGGGAGATCATCTCCCTGCCAACATGACCTGAGGCTCACATGTCAGGTGACGTTGCATTCTTATAGCATGGGAAAGTGGGCGGTCGTCATTTAACCTGACGGAACCTTACACACGGGCCTCAGAGGAGATCATCTCTCCTAACCGAGCTTTACTACGGACCTATTACTTTGCGGTAGTGAACGTAGTGCCGTGGAAGCGGCTAACTCAACGGTAGGAACACGGTGGCAAATCATCATTTATTGTAAGAAACCAACAATGCTGCAATAGGTAACAATTTATTGGCAAAAGTATATAAACGGATCACAGAGGTCAACGATGTTGGATAGATGCTGCAGGTGGTTCGGAGTGTAGGCGGCATCAGCCGCTCGGTGGCTGGACGATCTCCACAATGAATCTGCTTTCCTTCAGCTTAGCTTCTGGTCGACCGCGCCCTGAACGAATGAGTCATAATATCGCATTCTTGAATAATCTCCGATCTAACCGTCTCCGATCTCTTACTTTTCAACCAAGTACGAAAGTTATTCGAAAGGACAGAAAGAAGAAAAAATAGCGCCAAACGAACATCAATGTAGTATGTTTTCGAATGTAGGGCGAAGGAGAACAACTTCAAAAATTACAGGAAGAGAAAGAAACAGTAAAGGAAATGAATTCAAAGAAAATAGAGCGGGAAAAGGGATCAAAGTGGGGTTGAGCTCTAAGATATCAGCCAAAAAAAAACATGAAAAGTAAAGGAATTCCTCAAGATGTAGAAAAATTCTGATCATTTGTAATAACCGTTAATTCGGGGAGGGACGCGATCACGCGTAGCGAAATAGAGTTCAAAGAGGAATTTGCTATCAATTTAGATGAGGAGAGAAAGGAAAAAAAACAACTCCAACGATTATAATGCTATTAATTTCGTAAAAGAACTAAGGGAAGCGAAAAACAATCTGGCTATTGTATGAAATAATGAAAAAGAGAAAAAAATGACTCACCCTTAATGGAGCTGGCGGCCTGCGCAGGCGAGACGAGAGACGATGGCATGCGTTATCAAGCTTGCGATCAGGCCGGCTCATGCTAGAGCTACATCGATTGAAGGAAAAGCATGTATGCGGGGGGACTTACATAATGAAAACGAACATTTTACTCGAGTAGAGATCTTGCCGAGCTCTGTATCAAACTGATGAGAAAAAAGAAAAGAAATGCGAACCAACATGTGGGCAACTGGACCAAAACCACTGAAATACCGAAAAAATGTTTTATAACCCAGCTTCACTACTCTGCGCGCTTTTCAACTGAACTCAATGTAAACAATACTGCCCCTACTATACTGAACTTAGGCCCACCACAACAATACAAAAACGGTTCGCTGCTCGGCGCTTCTGTCCCTGCAGGGGAATCCACTTTTATCATCTTAGCCGGCTCACAAAACTGGGGCTGCTGGGTTCTTTCTCTTTCTTTGTTTATAGTCGGCATACAGTTTTTTACCGACTGTTCCCTTCTTTGTTTATTGTCGACATACAGTTTTTTTGCCGACAGTCTACTACTATATCTTTTACTGGTAAATTTCGTTCGAGAAGTTGCAACTTTTATTTCAAGGGAAAAGAAAACCGCTGTTGTACATAAGAATTTCCTTATTAATTCACTTGAAGGAGTGGAGTTTTCATGGGACCTGGCCATGGTCACATCAAAGCTCCAAATGATGCGAAAAAAAATCCCTGAAACGCGGTTTTCTCCTTCTGCTGCCAGCCACAAATATTTCCGATGGGGAACCCAACAGGGTTACTACGGAAATTAAACCGGACCTACCTTGCTCCTGTGGAACGAAACCACTCGGCTGGTACCAGTGAACGTAGCGCCGTGGAAGCGGCTAACTCAACGGTAGGAACACGGTGGCAAATCATCATTTATTGTAAGAAACCAACAATGCTGCAATAGGTAACAATTTATTGACAAAAGTATATAAACGGATCACAGAGGTCAACGATGTTGGATAGATGCTGCAGGTGGTTCGGAGTGTAGGCGGCATCAGCCGCTCGGTGGCTGGACGATCTCCACAATGAATCTGCTTTCCTTCAGCTTAGCTTCTGGTCGACCACGCCCTGAACGAATGAGTCATAATATCGCATTCTTGAATAATCTCCGATCTAACCGTCTCCGATCTCTTACACGGTTATGCAATTTGGGTGAAAGAATAGTACCACTGCGTAAGTTTACCTCATACTACCTACCAATGCATCGTCTCTGCTTCGCAGAGGTTCGCGTTGGTTCTAATCTATGCCTTCCTCGTGCTTGCATAATGTTGACATTGGAACTAAACGACCAACTTGAGTATCAAAGAAATTGAGCAACCATTCTTTAAGCTCTGAGGACAAAGCGAAGATCCTAGCAATCATTTTTGGCGCCATTTTTCCTATATATAGATTTTTTTTTGTTGCTTTTCGGCTAAGGTCCTCTTAAACATTTACTTGTAAAACAAAGTCATGACCTTGCAGAAGCCTAATTATTGGCTCATCTGCGGTAATGATAAAGGCCAGTGCGGGTCTCTGAGAAGCAGAGCTGACGTGCTGGTGGTAATAATGTTATAGTTTCGTCAAAATTACGTAATGCTTTTTGAACAAAACCAAAAGTTCCCTTCGCTCTGTTATACTACCTCAACCTCGCTTTTGAAGGGCATCCGCTGTCCCTTTTATATTGCTGTTTCGAATGCAATCTAAGCAGTCCATGTATAATTCCAGAGCTCTTGGACCTAATCACATGCTGACAAGCTGAGCTCATTGATTTGAGCGAAAAACTGTCATTACCATTTTCGGTAATGCTTCCATTCTTTATTTGGGCTAACAGATTTTACTATCTTCATCTTAGACATTGTCTCCAAGCATACGTTTCAAATGCATGTAACAGAACGCGTCCCTTGACAGCACGGGAGTCTACTTTGGACATCAAAACAAGGCCTATAGTTGGTGCCACCTTGCTGCGTTATAGCAATGACCTGATCCGAAAAATTGATCACTTTAGGCATTTGTGAAGGGTCATTATGCTATCAGTGTGAAGTCGTACAGATTTACAAAATTGTGATGCTCTGATAGAAGCTTCTAAACTGCTTGCATTGCCGCATCGTTCGATACCTTTTGTGTATGGACGATGCTTCAAATGATTTCATAAAGACTCTGAATCAGATGTTTGCCGAGAAGACGCTTCAGGAGTATATGTGGCCGTGAATAAAGTGTACATCACCCCGCTAGACACCTGGTAGACGAATTTTTACTGGAGCAGGCCTTTCTCGGCAGAGCAGGGCAAGTCTTCCATTAGTTCAAATAACTCATGTCTCTTTATCGTTTTATCCGCCTTTGCTTGGTAACTTATGTATTCTGACAATGTTTCAATAAAAATTGACGTTATTGTCATTGGTGAGCGTTGCTTCTTGCCGCCATGCCCGGTTTCAGGTCAGATGGGCAAACAATGCAGGTGGCAAATTTGCAACATGCAATCCACTAACACTTTTACATATTTTACTTACCAAAAAGGAAATCGCAGCAGGAGTTGTCCATTTGTGTCGTTCTTCCAAGCTATCTGTAAGAAAGTTGAAAGAATGAACATGGAAGGTACTTAACGCTCGACAATAATAATATAGTCAATTTTGATAACAAACATATTTAGGACACAATGGTTAACAAACAACAACGGAGAAAACCGATAAAGGAGCATATGCAAAATTGACTTGTGAGTCACCTGCCGCGCTCTGCTGCGACTGGCCTGCTCCAATTTAACTTTGATTCGCACATCAGGAGTCTAGTGGGATGAGGACAACTAAACTATTTCTGTTGCTCAATCAGTAGGCGAGCTAAGTTGCTGAGGATGTATTAAAGCACGTACGTAAAGTGTTGCCAATTTACAGACAATGTCACAACATGTAATTTACTAACACTTTTACATATGTTACTTACTAAAAAGGAAATCGCAGCAGGAGCTGCCCATTTGTGTCGTTCTTCCAAGCTTATCTGTAAGAAAGTTGAAAGAAGCTCCGGGCATACTTCATAAGATTTCAGTCAAGACTTTTGCGATTTGGCAGTACTCCATTATCCAAAACTCATCGTAAGAGCAATCTGAATGTGCAAAAAATTACAGTTTACAGTTCTTATCACTCTATAATTCTATATGAATTATGCATTTGTGGTCTGCGTGTGTTGCATTCAAAGACATCTAAGAGCCAGCATATCGCAACCGAAATCGCGTGTGATATGCCCGAGCCTAAGGGCAGGGTCCAGCATGAGTCGGATTTTAGAGTTTTTGAACGAAGTTCTTCCTGTTTTTGAACGAAGTTCCTCCTGGGGCGATATGCATCAATCTCCCGTTTTGAAAGCGGGCGATCATTCTCAACAGAAATCATACATTACGGGTCGGGCGCCCAACCCGGTCGGGCGATCATTTTCTATTGGAAATGATCGTCCCCTTTCAAAACGAAGATTGATGCATACCGCCCCTGACTTTCGGAAAAATTTAGTGAGTCTCCTTTGACCCTCCTATTGACTTAGGAGAAAATGAAAATAGGAAAGAGCCAATAGTCTTTGAAGGAGAACTTAGTATAAAGAGTCAATAGTCTCTGAAGGAGAGGTACAGTCGAGTAGATTTTCCGCTTAATATGGTTTGCTTGCACAGAAGGTGAAATGCGATGAACTTTGCGCGTGAATAAATAGCCACGCCAGTACTGCCGGCATTTTGCGGCCGCGATTGGCCGGCGACACGGTCGAAGCTATCTGTTCACGCGCAAAATTTACCGCATTTCACCTTCTGTGCAAGCAAACTATATTAAGCGGAAAATCTACTCGACTGTATAAGAGAGTGGAATTACGAAATGGAGTTGAATACCGCGCATCCCAAGGGTTTGGCATTGGAGCGCGATGTCTAGCAAAGGGATTTATGAAGGAATTAAGGCAGAAACAATGAAAATTCGACTATATAAGATAAGACCTTTTTACTTTGGGATAGATTCTTGGTCGAGGCAAGGTAGACAAGGTAGACACCGTCCAAGGTAGACAAATCCGAAACTCGTGTGAAGTAACAGAAATATATGTTTCATGCGACCTCAGACCGTATGGTGACCGCTTGGAAACGGACTGATTCTGGAAAAGGTATTTCACAAAGTTTTCGAAACTTTTTAAATGATTTTTCGGCGATTTTTCCATGTATACAGTCCAACTTTGTATCATACGATTGCGTCTGCGCTTCAAATAAGGAGTTTGTTTGTTTTAGCCTTACTTGCAAACCGCGTGCGCTTCGCAAGAGATAGAGTATGTTAATCGTGTGATAACCTGTCCTCAATGCTTGGACTCGTCTCAGTGATTAATTTTTTTCAGGGGCTCCGCCCCGCGCCCCGCAAAAACGATATCCCATTTGGTTTTCGCCCATCCTGCCTCATACGATCTGTGCCTGGCTTTGCCTAAACTACATAGAACTGCCTTTGCGCGCGGCAGTCTGTCGGAGCAATGGAGGCAGTAGCTCGAAAAGGCCGTCTTTCCGTATGTGTAGGGCACTCATAGAATCGCGACGATGGCGAGGTCGCGTGCGTCGCCTACGCATTTTCGGCAATTTCGCTGGTTTGCGTCTCTATTTACAGTCGATTCATTTCATATGATCATGTGTGTCATTGCACACACAGTCCACCTTCTGCGTCCTCATCCTGGGTTTGCAATGGCAAAAACGCAAGAGACTCACCGCTTGTTATCGATTACATCAGCTTGAGGTGATTAGTAACGTAAAAGGAAAGAAAATGCTGAGAACACCCTGAAAACACTTACATGGAGGCTTGTTTCTCCCACGAATCCGGGATGGGAACGCCAAAGGCCTGTGTGTGCAATGACGCACATGATCATATGAAATGAATCGACTGTAAATGATTTCTCTGCATCCTGTGATAGCATTAGATATTAGAAGTGAGTGAGCTGAGCTGTAAAGGCACTGTCCATTCTAAGTTGAGGTCCATGAACTTTTGGCAGCATATGATAGTAGGGCCCCCTACCAAGCCAATGCCCAAGTCCAATCACCATTCCAGAAGCCGGCATAACAGGGATTGTTGGGGATTTCGCGGATTCTCGACTTCATATGCGGAATCAGGACATGACAAGGCTCTGGAACGACAAAACCTGGAAGTCGAGAATCTGGGTAGACGGTGCCTTCAAGGTGATGCTTCTTTTGAGCGTTTTATACTTCTATGGCTGCCGCTACTCTCTGTTAAATATTGAGGGTGAGCGTCACCTCTACTTAAATGTTCACTGTTTGAAATAAAGGAATGAACAAGTTTAAACGGGCAAGCAAGGCGCAAAGTCGATTGATGTCTTGTTGACTCACCTAGCTTCAGAATAGGTGATATGTATATTGGTCTGACCAATGATTTGTATCTCTTGTACTTCAGTGTCCCTAAAATCAAAAAAGCGCTTAGTTTATATGTGCAGTATTGCTGAAACAGGGCCCGGCGGAGGTGGCGTTTTCACAGGCTGGATATCGTTTTTTGCTCAGAAAAGCAGAGGAGAAGTCGTAATTCAAGGTTTGGAGCGGAACCCCGGATAAATTCTGACATATGCGTTTGTGGAAGAGATGCACGTGCAGGATGAGAATGTTTGCAAAAATGTTCCTTATTATCCAAAAGTTTTCGAAAAATTATTATTAAAACTCAAAAACTAACGGAAATGTCTGCGAACTTTTTACCATTATTTGAGGTAGTGTCGATTTCTAGATCAGGCTAAAATATCTACAGCGTGCTACGGTAAAAATTTCCGCCCCGTGTGCAGAATCGTCAGTATCCAGACTTTCTAGACTCTAATATATCGGAGACGGTTCTCCTAGCTTAACGTAAAGGTTTATTTTATTTGGACGCTATTTTTATAGTATTAAGTGAACATTCTAACGAAACTAGTATATCTTGTCATCGAAAAGTCTGGTGGCAAGAAATATTTATGACTTCTTTCGAAACAGCGCACAGCAGATACAGAAAGCAGACCTGGAAGCGCTTCAAGATGCATTTAATGGTGTACATTTCATTTCAAAAGGTCACGGTACCAAATATCCTTCCCTTGTAAGCTGGCAGAACATGACAAGATAAAGATAATATTATGATACAGTAAGGTAAGAAGATAAAAATAATATTAGCGTTATTCCCAAAATTTGCTGACAAGAAACCTTATTTTTGAGATTGTCAGGCGAAAATATACTGGCAACGTTTTAGGGGCTTAGCTTTTCTAAATATTTATCCTCAGAACAACCTTATTTCTCCTTTTGAGTAATAGTGAAAAGAATGCAAGATTATCAGACGTCACCAAAAGGGAAGTCGTAAGATTGTTGATACTCAAAAGGGATATCGTTTAAAAAATCTAAAATGCAACCTCCTGCCGGGCCCTATGCTGAAAGTGCAGCATTGCTGCGTTCTACTGTTTTACCCTTGAAAAGGCTACATCCTACGTGAAAGCTCCATCATTACTGTGCCAATGTTACGCGAAGTAGCTCCCACAGATTCCGGGAACTTTTGAAATATTATTGTAATATCACTGTAATATTGGCACTTAATTCAGCTGAACCTCTCAACTACCCAGATGAAGGACCAGGAAGAAGCAGTCCTTGGCGAGCTACTCAAATACAGAAGTGTATTAGATCAGGTTAATCATACTCTCCATGCTCGTATAATCATTACACATGTTATTTTCAGTTAGTAAACGGTGTTGTTTCACAATCAAAAGTTGTTCAAAGGACACTGCACGAAGTTATTCAGGAACATGTCTGTCAAACTCTTTGTTTCGCATTAAGCTCAATAAAATTGCTGAAATAGAAATTCAACTTAGTCTTTGCAGGACTATGTGCAACATTCATACCAATACCTTTCTTATGTCATTTTGCTACCACTCACTCTCGTTATACTGTGCTGGTTCGGATTCGTACTTTTAGTATTTCGGTAATTTATGAACCGAAATTTTTTGAAGCAATATTCTCATAGGTGATAAATCAGGTGTTGCGCTAATATTGGCAGCGAAGAGCAAGATGAGCAGTTCCCTATACGAAACAAGATATCGGATTTCGGTGGGAGAGTCTTGGGTATTGGAGGATATGTCGCTTTATTTGTCACTTCGCTCTTGTTCTTGATGGTCGCGTACGTGCACAATATTAGCAACTCGGGATCAACTATCACTTTGAGAATGATATTGCATAACATTCAGACTATGTTTCGTTATCGCTTTTATCTCAATGTTTTTGTGTATGGGATTGTTCGAAGACCAAGATCTGCGATTATTGTATGTCCTGCCCCAGGCAACGTTCAGAGTTCCCATCAACCAACAAGTCATTTCTGTGAATTTATTGTAAGTTCTAGATACTCGCTACACGGCTCTTTTTTTGAATTTTTCACTTAGCGACACGTTCTACAAATGCAAAAATGGCTTCTCATTTTTCGATGCCATTGAAGGTGACAAGATTATGGCTCAATCAGCTATGGAAAAAGTAAGAATCAGCTGGACGTTTGAAACGCGTTAACAACACGTGGTATTCGAATGCAATCAACATTTTGAAGAAGTGCCATTAGATGGCGCAGCAGCGAGCCTGCAGCTCTGGACGACGCCGTGCAATGTTGGGTGGCGGTCTATTTCAATCCTATTGTGCTCAATCGTTTTAGTTTAAAATAAAAAAAGGATAAAGGATTCGGCGTCTTCAATACCCTCTGAGGGCATGCGCCGAACGCACACACTAACTTCATAGTCGAAGAGGCAATTTATGCGTGCGAGCCTATTGCAGTGACATGCGGAGGCCAGCCGTTTCCTAGTCAGTGCTTTTATCCTCCCAGATTACTCGGGTACCAGTTTACCGGCCCCGGAGGGTGGAGGGCTTCGTTGGCCCAGGGGCGGGGATCGAACCTGGGTTCGATCTGGTCATAGCGGCGCCTCATACCACTACGCCACTCGTCCCCCATCGTTTTGATTTGGGTTCACATAATCAAACTAAGCTCGAAATTATTCATTTTAGCCCTTCTATCTCTTAATTAAGGGGTTACTCTGGTATTCTTTGCATGAACATTACTTCATGCCCAATATATGAAAGGAGCCATAGATGACCGCAAACCTCAAGCGACTTTGATGGGGGCCCCACTGCTCAATTGAGCTTCATCTCCTTGGCAAGCTTTGCGCACTTCCCCAAAACTGCCTAAATTTAAGATTATGTGTAAATTTGGGTGTTTCTGGCCTAGCGAGCACAGTTTGCCATAAAGTCAGTGCTGCCTCCACGCTTTGTATATACCGCACGCTTGAAGGCAGTGGCTCGGGAAAATGCGAGTGGGAGATTTTTACAATTAAGGGCCTTCTGGACCAACTGAGCCAGGTACTGTGCTTAAAAAGTCAAAAAACTCCTTCTTTGGCGTTTTTTGATCTTGGAGATTTCTGGAGAGGTGGAGCGAGGGATTCCCGTCGACTGTACCGTATGTACCGTAATGATTGCCTGGGCTGATCAGCCAACTGCCGCCATAATAGGTAAAGTTACAGTATCCTGCAGTCACTTGCTGCTTACGTTGGGTATTCCTCGCCTCGCCTCTCCAACAATCTGCAAGACCAGTAAATTCCAAAAAACCACTTTTTTGACATTTTAAGCACAGTACCTGACTCAGCTGGTCCAGAAGGCTATGTAGTTGTGAAAAAACCCCCAGTTGCGACTATCCCAAGCCACTGCCTCTAAATTCAAAAATTGCATCACCAATTTGGGCATGGAAAGAGCTTGATGCTTATGCTTCCATCACTGCAATTGAATCGATGTCCTCCGCTTTTCCGTATCCATATTCCATAGATGACCCAAAATTAGTTTGGCTAAGCAAATAAACAGCAAACACCCTCAACTTATTTTGTTTTTGAAACCGCGTCTAGCATCCCTCTTTGCATTTTTTTGTCCTCGCGTATCTATCTTATCACATTGACGACAAGGCCGATTTTTCGATTACTGCCATTTCGGACAGGAGCCTTTTTTGCACTGCCGAACTTACGACCCACCCGTGGGTCGTATTGTCCGAAATGGCAGTCTTTTTGGAAGAAATTCAAAACATATCTCTGATAATATCCCCACAAGGGTTATCGAAGGCGCTGATTATCAAAATATGATTTGTTTCAGTTTTTGGCGGTATACGGTAAGATTACGGTAGTCACTCTGTACGAACCCAACATCACGAATTTTCGTGAGAAATTGTATTTTGGGGTTATTTCACATGCTGATCACGATTATAGTGTCCACTTTGTTCACTACTTTCCCACAGTGGGACTACGGTAGCAGTACGGTAGAATTTTTTTTAAGAATCAGGAAACTGATGTAAGAAGGCGGTATTAGAACTTGAGATTATCATTTTCGTAATCAGCATGCTAAAAAACCTATATATGCAAGGTTTGAGCTTCCTGGAATGAACAATGCGAAAAATCAATAAAATCAATAAAATCGATAATTTTTGATGGGCTGACATCAGTCTCATGCTCTCCCTCTATTTCTTGTGCATGTAAACTTGAAATGTCAAAAACAGCACCACTCTGCGAGAAATTCGAGCTAAAATCTGTGCCTTACCTCTATCTACGGTATGCCTACCGTAACATCACATTACAGTATCCCGGACCTGGACCACTCCGGCTATAGCTTCGCCAAGGTGTCCCCAATCATGTGCCAGAATACCGTAGAATTCCATCGCATGCTGCCAAAGTTAGAGCTTTTGAAAACTTACGACCCACCGGTGGGTCGTATTGTCCGAAATGGCAGTATACGTACGACCCACCAGTGGGTCGTATTGTCGTCAATGTGTTATGCAGGATTTGTCGTTCTAGCCGCGTGTTTCCATATGCGTGCTGCACACCACGAGTGCTACTTCACTTTTAAGAATAGGGCGGTCAGTTTTCTGGAATTTCCTTGTCTTTTTCTCCCTTTTGCACTGGATATGTAATAGTCGTGCACATTTAGACAGTATCAGCTGGAAAATGTTTTGAAGGAGTTAGTAAGATCGGTTACGCGCTGTATTCAAGCTCACACAGAATTACAAGTGACTCGCAGAGATTATGGCGTTCAAATACGTAAATGCTACCTATATTGCTTTGTGTTCTTGAAGCTGAACTTAGCTGCATTATAAATGAGTCAAAACGGTGGGTATGGGCTACTTTTTGCTGCGCTTTATTAGGCCGTTGTGTCGCTTGTAGACTGATTTTCTTGTAGATTTACGAGATTCCACTCTTGAATTTAGTAAAAAAAAACGGCTATTTCCCAGCTGCTTTCCCACACACATCTTTTGGGTCGTCTACCCCTCTCCTCGTCATAATTTCAACTTCTAAGCTTCAAGCGTTTACGTACCGGTCTGTAGCAGTGGCGTACCCAGGATTTCCGTCCGGGGGGGGGGGGCACAAGAATTTTTTTCTGATGAAGGTGCGTGGCGTGCCACACATCCTGAAAATATTTTTGGTATGCTTCCCAAAATTCTTGCATGTCCCTAACCCCGAAATTTCGAAAAAGGGAGCGTGTCGCCAGCCACGCCCCGAAAAAATTTTTATAATCTAAATTGAGTAATTGAGTAAGGCCTCAGGCATACTTTACGCGATTTCGATCGCGACGCGATCTGGCAAGGTGCCAGATGTCTTAAATTGCAATTTTTGCGGATTAGAAACTCGTGGTATATATGACTTTCGCAGATTGGCAGAATGCCCTATCTTCTGTACATTCATAATAAGCTTATAAAGAACCAGTGCTTCACCTCTGCTTCGCAGAGGCTCGCACTGGTTCCTCTATCTACATGCTTTTCTCTTGTTCACATGATGTTCACTCTGAAACACATTATGCGATGCTGACCATCATGAACGAATTGTAAAACAACTACTCATTCCATGAGCTTTTTCATGTAGGAGCAGTAAATTGAGAAGAGAAAATTCTTGTGTAGAAGATTAAGAGTGAATTTCGGTTAGTTACTGAAGTAATTATTGGCGGGTAGTTTCCACAAACAGTTAGTTTTGTCCCCTACATTTCTGAGCAGAAATCCTCGCAAATAATTAGCTGAAACCTTGACAAATTCATGATTTACCAATCACTCCTTCTTGGCGCTAATTTTGCTTAAAAATAGATATTTTGCTCACTTTTTGGAATTAAGCCTATGATCTGCACATTTACTTGTTAAGCAAATCCACAAATTCGCAAAAAGTACAATCACAGACTCACATTGGGGGCCAAAGGTCGCGTGGACCCATTTGACGCGCAGTTTTGAAGGTTCCGATTATCGGATCGGCTTGTGCTTTTGCATTATTTACCTGCATGCTAATCGGATGCTATGACCAAAATTTCAGCTCAAGACTTTGGCTACAACACGCTCCATGAATTTCGTCACAGACAGATATATACACACACAGATAGACAAACAGACAGACGCTTAGCGCTTTATTGTTAAGTAATGATTATAAACAGCCCGTCACCTCTGCTTCGTAGAGGCTCGCACTGGCTCTATTATCCACATGCCTTTTTCGTAGTCGCAAAATGATGGCTTTGAAACTTACCTCGCCATGCCGATCATCACGAATGAAATGTAAACAACTACTCATTCCAAAAACTTTTACATGTAAGATTGGTGACTTTGAGGGAAAGAAAGTATTCTCCAAAAGATTAAATGCAATTCTAAATTAGTTACTGGGGTTATAATGGCTTGATAGTTACCATAAAGATTATGACAACCGTGAGTTACATCTCTGAGCAAAAATTTTCTCACATTCCCAAGTAAAACTTTGACAAATCGATCACATACGCAGTTATTCCTTTTATTGGCGCCGATCTTGCATGAAAGTAAACTTTTTGCTCACTTTTCGGGCTGGAGTCCATGGTTTGCGGATTTACTTGCTAAACGAAACCATGACGTGGAAAAAAGTCCAATTACAGGCCCACTTTGACATGCGAAATGTCGCGTGGATCCGACTGGCGCACAATTTCACAGGTTTTGATTTTTTGGATCGGCTTCTGCTTTTGCATATTTTACCTACATGCTGACAGGGTGCTACTACCGAATTCCTAGCTCAAGATCTTTGCTAGAACTCGTTCTACGAATTTCGTGACAGACAGAGATTCACACACATATACAAACGTTAACAACCCTTAGCCCGTTATTATATGTTACTAGCTGCGGTTCCCGGTCCCGCCCGGGCCGAGAGTCCAGAATGGCCCAGCATAGGGTGTGCTTCAAGATGTATACTTACCAGTCCTCCACTTTCTTCAGTTCATATCTTCTGTTCTCTCCTGCTTCACCTCCATGTCAGTTTTAGCGCTCGTGTAGTATCCGTGGTGAATAGTCTTCTTTCTTGTCCGGCTTGCTTCATGACACCGCATGCTCCTCACCGCAAAATGTAAATGATCTCTACCACCCCTTACTACTCACTTGGAGAAATGAATGGTATAGCCTTCATTTTCCTAGATTTTAGTAAACAAAACCAATAAATCGATAGAAGGACCCAGCGAACTGTCGAAAAAAGTAGCCTATCTTTTGCGCCGTGGCTTGTTTATAGGGAAACAAAATTCAGCCTCTTTGGTTCACATACAGAGGAGTCTATAAGCCACAAACATCCTAACAAACACGGTACAGTGTTTGAGTTTTATATATATATAGATGATTGGAGCATTGCCAAATCGCGGCGCGACTGAAATCATCGCCGCAAAAAATAGCTTAAAAGTTTACCAGAGACGAAAATATTCGTGCAGAATTGCAACTCAGCCGGTTCGCTCATAAATCTGTCTTGGGAACGTAATATTACATGATTACAAAATTTTTGCTGTAAGTATAAAGGTACATGGATAGCTTCTTTCAGACGCTTTCAAAATTTCGGAAGCACAGTTTTCGAAGGAAATTGCGAAATTTTCGCATAAGCGATGAAGTAGTGGAAAATGTCAACGGTACCCTCTCATCCATTGAGGTAAGCACGGCTCCTAATCTCCTTCGCTTCATGCTCAACTTTTGGGCAAAACATGACGAACTTATCCTGCTTTCTTGAGCCGGAAACTGCAGATTGGCTTGTGGTGAAAACAGTAGTCTTAAGTTGCAAAACACCTTTACTGAAACGACAAACATCTAATACGCTGAAAGACATTTTTTTTAGAATCTTACTCAAACGTTCACAACTAAACTAGGAGAGCTCGAAGAAAATCAAAGTCTGATTTTTCTTTCTTTTCCGTTTTCATCTACACCAACATTTGAAAGGGTATTTGGTCTCATTCATTTCAGGAACACGGCTGCAAAGAACCGCACAAGATGTTCTAAGGGCTATTGGAAATTTGAACGCTAAATTGATGAAGTGTCAGAACATGGTATTCCACAATTAAATGATCCTTAATATGATGAGTTTGTTTGTACAGCTGATGGTTCTAACATCTAGAAGTAAAAGGGATAAGCTTTCCATGGACTTTCAGAAGCATTTGAGAGAAGTAGAAGAGAAAATAATTAAAGCAGTTGCTCATTTTGTGGTATAGTTTCCATGTTCTGAAATACTCTTCAAAACTGTGGGTTATCTTAACAGAGGACACTGAATGATATGACTCCACAGTGTCGGTCAATCATGGCAATATGGAATGATATTGGCTTCTATTTATGTAACATCATAGCCGTACCAGCTCAAGGGTTTTGGGTCGCATGCTGTATGATCTGTGACATATTTGCAGTTGCTTGGTTTCTAAAATTTGTCTTATGTTTGATTTAGTGATTACCGCGATTGGGGCCTTTGCCATATACTCAGCCCTCGAAAGTGCAACAACGTTTTTGTTGAGCTACGAGGAAGAAAAGGTACATCGCTGTTTACGTACTCGTCTTCCAGAGTTTCATTCTTTCAGATCCAGTCTTTGCAAATAGCCAGTGAAATAGCTGAAAAAGTAGGATGCGCTACAGTTTTCTCACTAATGTGCATCTTGCAAAAAACGGCTTTTTCAGGTTAAGAAGAAGGAAGAATCGCCGCCGTCGCCTAAGGAACTGATTCACCTTCATCTGCCAGAAGCAAAAACTCAGCTTTCTGAAACCGTAAGAAGCTACCCTTCTTCATGAAAACTGTTATATTTGGAACTTTAAGAAAATTGAAATGCCTGAATCCCCACCAAAGTCGGAACCTATTTTGCAATCGAGCGATGGAAAGGTGTGCACAGTTGCCCGTCAAACCATCGTCTCTAATATAAATTACAGATTGAATGGGTGGCTGTAGACGATATTGTGCAGCAGGTGAGAAGTTTATATAGTCGAAACGATCTTTTCAATGGTCGCGTTGATGAGTTAATGCAATGACGAAAGCATATTTATTTATTTATTTATTTAATACATTACTGTAGTGTAATGTGCTAGATAGTATAATAGCTAATATAAAAATGATGCATAACACATACGAAGAAATATGTACAGATGATTTGCTTTCACTTTCACATCGCTAAATCTTCTGCTTGAGAACCAAAAACTAGGTTAAGAAGTTTCAGTTATAGTAAATTAGTTCGAAAAGGTGGTATGTTAGTATGCGAAGTTAGCGCAAAACGATTCTCTCAAACATTATCAAAAGCTTCGATCGCACGCATGAAGAGTAGGTAGTAGGGTGTATGCCCAAAATAACGGAGCATGATGGGATACGCTAGTGCGGGTAACAGATCACTTTCGAGTGGCACGCTTTGGTGATAGTACCTAGGCGATATGGCAAATCCACTCGTACCTAGGCGTTCATTACACTACCGACCGCCTCCACTTCCTCCGTGTTTGAGCATAGGAATGTAACATGCATATACAGGGTGTCCCAAAAAAATGTTTCGAACGTTTGATCGTTAATATCTCTCTTCCCAAGAAGTCTTTTGCCTTGCTTCAGGGACCGTTTCGTAGAGCTGGCTTCAACTTAGATTTGCATTATAGAACGTATCACCCATCTCTCTTCATCACTGTAGGATTACGGTAGAAACTTGAAAGAGGGTTTTAAGCAATGAAAGGCCATATTTTGCCTCAGAAAAGAAACAAAACAGCCTCAAAGCTTCTACACTAGGCTAATTAGAGTTGCTGATTATAACTGTAAAGTTTCCGACTTATTATGATGTTTCATTGAAGAGTTATGCCAGGTAAGAGGTAGCGGCCAGTTTTTCAATGTTCCTAAAAAGTGCGATTACACCGATTAGAAAACTTCGTAACCTTGTGAACAGTTGAGTACTGAACTCAGCGTCCATAAAAGCCCTATTACACAAGTTTTCACAATTATTTGAAAAATTTTGAAACGACAGCTTTTTTCCACATTGACACCATATGTTTCAAGTTTCTACCGTAATCCTACAGTAATGAAGAAAGATGGGTGATTCGTTTTATAATGCAAATCTAAGTTGAAGCCAGCTCTACAAAACGGTACCTGAAGCAAGGCAAAAGACTCCTTGGAAAGAGAGATATTGACGATCAAACGTTCGAAACATTTTTTTGGGACACCCAGTATATATAATATATATGCATAAGATCATAACTTATAATAACGGGCTAAGAGTTGTTTACGTTTGTCTGTCTGTCTGTCTGTCTAAATCTCTGTCTGTCACGAAATTCGTGGAGCGAGTTCCAACGAAGGTTTTGAGCTGATTTTTTGCACAGCGCCTGCTACCAACATGAGAGCTACTATACAAAAGCACGAGCGGATCCATTGTGTGGATACCTCAAAAAATGCGCGTCAACCGGATCCACTTGGCTTTTGGCCAGTAAAATTGAGTTTGTTGCGCAGCTTTTTGCAAATTTAAGGATATTTTTGACATGTTAATGTGCAAGTCATGGTCTTTAGCCTAAAAAATTGAACTAAAGTTTATTACTTTGCGAAAACGGCGCCAAAAAGAATTGGTTGCGTAAATGTTCAATTTGCCAAGATTTTACCCGATGGTTTGAGAAGATTTTTGCACAGATATGTAGGCCACGGTGATTATGGCATCTTAACGCGAATATCAAGCCATGAAAAGTCCAAAAACCGACTAAAATCTGCATTTGTTCTTTCGAGAAAAGTTTCGTTTATGCGAAATTACCGATCTCATATGGAAAAGCTTTTGGAATGAATAGTTGTTTACAAATCATTCGTGATAGCCTGCATACGGCGGTGAGTTCCAATATCATTATTGTGCGAGAATGAGTAAGGCATACAGATAGTAGGGCCAGTGCGAGCCTCTGCGAAGCAGAGGTGAAGCACTGGTGTTATATATAATATATATATGATATCTCCAGCGATTCCGTCAGCTAAAGTCTAAGGCATACCTCTCGCGATTTTGCGAAATCGCCACATCCTCGCGACTTGGCGATTTGCCAGATGTCAAGAGATTAAGCATGTGAGGCTCTCAGATACATGGGTGCGTAGATTCCGTAAATTGTAGCAAACACAGCAAGTCTGGCCCAAGCAAATGCGTTTACGACCAGCTATGGAGAATCGTTACAGTGCCAAATCCCGCGGCGACTAAAATCGCGTGAGGTATGCCTTAGGCCTAAAAGGCTGCGACTTGGCATTTTGCCAAATCTTTACGATTTACGTGCGTAGCTCTTACATGCATAGGCGCGTAGATTTTGTATATTGTTACTCATTAAGCCTTTTCTTACAATTAGCAGAGCGCTTTTACGCCGAAGGATGAAGTCGCTGCAGTGCCAGATCGCGCAGCGACTGAAATCGCGTGAGATATACCTTACATCTAAGGCATGGAAAGAAAATTGAATTCTTTTCATGTCCTAGAGCATGCTGATAGAAAATCATACATCATGTTCTAGCATCTTGAAAGCTATGAGATTTATATGTTGAATAAGAAGATATGATGTACTATCAGCATGCTCAGGCGTAAAATTGCGCTTCCCGGCTATGTTCAAAGTAATCTCCGCAGCATCTGGAAAAAAAGTAACTTGCACCGCTGTGCTAGGAAGAGGCTTGACATTAGCCACGTTTTCCGTTGAAAAAAACAAAAAATTCTAACTGTTTCATGCACATGGAATCCTTAAGAAAAGCTGCAGGGCAGCAGCACTCGAGAATTCCTTTCAAAAATAATTTTAATTTCCAGCATTACCAGGGCATACTCAACCTATCTACAAGTGATCAAGTCAGTTTGATTCTAGAACTCTCATAGGCAACAAAAATTTCCAGACATGCTCTGTGGTAAGGGAGGACGTTGCTTTTCCGGTTCGCCACTGCTTGCATCATACGGCCGATGTCACCGGTCAAGAAAAATCAAATTCATAGTTATCCTTTTTCGCTACACAGTTTTTCGAGTGTTTCAACATCCATGCTTTAGCCCAAGCTTTAATTAGTAACACCCACATCGTTCCAAGCTTCTTTTCTGGGCGTTACTTTTCTAAGTACAGTAATTTGAAGAAACTTTGTCTCCAAAATCCTCAGATACCAATTCGTGCCCAGTCTCGCGCAAGAGTGCGCGACTTTAAAACTTTCAATATAGTGTCATTGACAAATTTAGGCCTTCGGAGTACCGCCTACTGTGAAACACATGCCTGTGCTGGTAAGAGATCGAACTGGTATAGCAAAAGAGGTATGCTGTTATTTTTGAAAAACATGATGTATGTTGTTTTTTTTTTCAATGACATTTTACAGGGGAAGGAGCCAAGAAAACGACATTCCGTAAAAAGAGTAAATTGAAATTAGTCTCAAAGCGTTTTTGAGATTCAAATATATTTTTCAGCTAGTTTGGTCTCCAGGTGGAACTGCATTCTCTCAAGTGGGTTTTACCGAGTTTTCTTCTAGAACACACTAAGATTGTAAGTTAAAGGGATCGTGGCAACCTTACAAAGATGGTAAAATCAAGCAATTTTCGATACGCGACGCGATTGTAGGCTACACAGTGGTGTTTATTTCTCCTCAACGATCTTCTTTTACAGAAGCCCCAGATCACACAACCAGAACGCCATATCCCACAATCACAACCCAAAGTTGTAGAGCGTCAAATCCTACAACCAGAACCGAAAACGGTTCCAGAACGACCAACACTTCCAAAGCAAACAGCGGTACCAGAACGTCAAATCCCACAGCCGAAAGCGGTGAGTCTGGAAGAGCATTATGGCTGTCGTCACCGATCAAGTGCATATACTATAGCGTTACTGCACAATTCTTGCCAATATAGCTATGCTAGTCTCACAAATCAGAAAAACTGTTCTCATATCTGGTGCTAAAAGGCCTTCCACTTTCGTTTCGGCTCACAGGTTGTCACTGGAATGTCAATTCCTATACACTGTTTTGGAAATAGATGAAGTGTCATCTCATTTCTGAGTTGAAGATACTAGTAATAAAATTCCCAGTCTTTCATCATTTTTGCTTATACCAAAATTCCAGTTTGCATGCAAATGGTTATCTCCTCCTAATTTGCTTCGACCACAAGTTAGTAATGGCATTGTAGTAGAATCAGAGCAAGTTTTCAACATTCGTTTTATCGAAAACCGTCGCAAATGCCGATTGGAAAAGCTTTAAAAAGCATTGTCATTAGTGCACCTCTCGAAAAAAAATTTTAAACCTTGACAGGACTATTTTTTCATGCAGATCACCACCCCTGAGATAAAGGCAAAACTGGCTGAGGAACCTACATTCGTTGTGAGAACAGCCGAAGAAGCAGAAGATGAGGACTTTGATCTATATGAAGGTGCCCTTGAAATAAACCGATAATCTACCTTCCTTAAACCTGAAAGCTTGCCATAAATTTCAATTACAGGCGGTCCTGGAAAACAGCGAGCGGTTGAAGCTGTACTACGAGACGAGGAAGAACGTATGATACCAGCATCTCCAGACATGAAGCTTGCCGATGTAGAGCAAGAGGCATACATACCAGAGTATCAAAAGTCACTGCCACTTACACCTACTGGGGAAAGCAAAGACTCAAAAGTAGAAGATACATTGGACAAAAGTCAAAAAGCCATAAAGGACAGTGTGCCAGATCAGCAGGCATATCGTGCGAGCTTGACTTCACCCAAGTTCACCCCAGAAAGCAAGGCAGCAACATTAGAAGAAACTTCTGAAAAAAGTCAAAAAGTTAAAAAAGCTGTTGCTTTGCAAGAAGATTCGGGAGCGGCTGTAACACACAGCGAATCAGACACTTTTGTTGAGAGTAGAATACCCGCCAAAAAGTCCCCCGATACACAGAAGGCTTCTCCGGCGGTTCGGAGCTCCACCCTGGAAAAGAAAAGCAAAGAACAAGTCAAAAAAGCTGAGAGCAAGCCACAAGAGAAGGAAATGACTAGAAAAGTTGTGCCTCCCAAAAAACCCTCAGGTAAAAAGGAGACGAGCAAAATCAAGACAAGCAAGCATCAGAAAGAGAAGAAAGAAATGAAAGTTGACAAGCCTGTGAAACACGGCTCCAAGGAATCCGAGAAAAAGCAGTTGAAGCAAAAGACCGGAAAGGCTTAGTATTGAATTTGGGGGACATGTATCAACAAAAAATCATCGAAACAGACTTCAAATCGCACCAATGCCAAGCTGCATTGGTGCTTCTCGATTATTTTCGTTGTTTGATTAATAAATTTCTGTCTTTGCATTAGTGTTCAGTATAAAGATGCTTTATTAAACACTAGCTGATAGTCCCGGTCTCACCCGGGACTCTTAGTTTAACCAATATGTCATCGGCTTCCATTCGTATAGAGGCGGGTTGCAAACTTCCCTAACCTTTAGGATAAACTTGTTAAACCTCTACGTTAAAGCATTAAATTTCGTACTTTCTCGTCGAGCTTATCCTTGAAGTCGCTGAAGTCCGCAGCCCGCCTCCACGCGAATCTGGAAGCCAACATACTTACACTTTCTAACTTCTACATTGCGCGAAAAGCGCTTTGAGACGAACTCGCTGCATCCTGTCAGCCTTGAGAGTAGAATGAACTTTACCGCCCCTGCTTACATGCTTATATGTAAAAATGATCGGTTGCCATGATGGCCCTTCATTTTCTTAGGTTTGAGTAAACTAATCAATAAATCGATAGAATGGCTCGGCGAATCGCCGCGAAAAGTAGCTCTAAACCACCGCCGGGGTCGAAAACATACGTGTGCGAAGTTTCAGCCGGATCGGTTCAGTGGCGCGCGTTTCTATAACGAACGAACAACTAAACGAACATCCTCACAGACATTGAGTTTTATATATATATATATATATAGATTTCAACTTCACGGTAAAACTTTGTGTTTAATCCGATGGGAATAGACTTTCTGCTAAGACACATGATAAAGAGAGATAAAACACCAAAGATTTTTAAACATGCGGAATCTGAGTTCAAATTTGGAAGCCAAAACTTTTCGCTTGAGAGAAGGTTCGCGCTTTACGATAGTTGTACAAAACTGTTTTTCTGTGGCGGCTCGGTGGGCCCTAAGCACCTAGATTTACCCGATACCTGTGCGCTCGCCCGCTTATTACATACAACACGACCTAGCCTACCCGTACATCTAGCGCGTGAATAAACAATGTTGAATTAATAACAATTTATCCTAATACATCGAATTACAAGAAAACTACAATACTAGAACTACTCAACTAAACTATAAACTAAAAGAAAAACCCTGACACGGGACACGGTGCCCCATCCCGTGCTACCGATGTTGCGCGTCTATTAAACCTTTAACAATACCAATGCTCACGATGCTTCACCAATACAGATACGCCACTCGTAGCCGAATGACAGGCTTTTGAGATGTAAATATCCCAAATCTCAAAGGCTCCAAAAGTGGCTCGTACAACATAAGAAAAATTATTGATCGAAAACGAAACAGACAGGCGCTGAAATGAGGCTACGCCGCTATATATATAGTCTTTTGGCTGGCAATGCGCCAAGGCAAGGATAATTCCGGAGGCGATTGCGGGAAGCATGAGAAAGTACCGTAATCGTCGCGGGATAGCGCGGCAGCAACCAGTGCTCCCGGCCTTTCACTTCTAGGAGCGCTCGCATCGCAGAGCCGCGACATTTCCGTATAAGGTATAGATAGGCCAGTAAAGTTCGTTAAAGGCTTATCTATTTTATTTACGCTTTTTCAAATATAAGTTTTTTTCAGAAATAAGAAGTCTACAGCATTTTGATTCTATTAGGTCGTAAAGAAAGTTTCCGGGCGCTCGCGAAAATTTTTTTCAAACCGCTGTAACTTCAAGCAGATCTATCCTTTCAAAGCAACAAATTTCTTTACAAAGACAATTTTGTCTTCAACATATATTTGTCTTGCTGGCTTTTCAACACCTCACTGCTGTCCACCAACATTCGCAAAAGGGTATGTGCAGGATTATCTCAGGCATGATGAGAGCTGGAGAGCTTAGATGCTAGACTATTTAAGCCTTAGAGCGACCACCTGCAGAAAAAGATCTGAAGAAAGTTTGAAAAACCGACCATTTTTTGCCCCCAAAAATGCACCATTTTTCGAGTAAGTGACTTTAAGGTCTTGTCGTTCGCACGGAACGGACCGAATTTTTGATTACTGCGATCATTGTTCGGGTAATGCCTTGCACATCTTTTGCACCCATCATCCAGGCGTGGCGATCCCCGCAGAAGCGACGCCAGCTGCTAAAAGAGATACAGTCAAAGGCAAGTTCGACAACTTGTAATTTCTGAGAGCAAATTCCAACACTCGAGTGCAGCAGCGGGTCAGTAGTCGACAGGTTCCTCAATCAGTTCACTCACGATCTCAGCGAAACTCTTTGAACCGCACAAAAAATGGTCGCAGGAAGAAAAATTGTGAAAGTTTTATGGTTGGAAAGATTTCTTTTTCTGATATGCAGATCAAACACGTTTTGGAATCAATAAAATCAGAAACTGGTGCGAAAAGGTTAGGCTTCCCTCTACCGAACAGTATAAAGGACTTGGTGTCAAAGTGCGAGCGTGCGCCAAAAAAATGGGTCAGAAAATGAAATTTCTAAAAGTGCCCGGGAACTTCCTTTACAACCTAATAATACCAGTGCAAGAAGCAGGAGTTTGCTCTCTGCAGAAAACTCTGCATACGAATTTTCTGCTTCAACGCAAAATCATTAATTTTTCAGAAAAATTTCTTAGAAAGCAAAGTTTTGGATACTACTTTGATTTTGAGTTGAATTGGAAGTATATGTGAGTGTAATGCATAGTCATCGACAACAAATGGCATTTGTGAGATGGACACGGATGATAGATTTCTAGATATTGAGTAGTTTCGATTTCGCGAATGCGGTGCGATAGCCCATTTTATTCGCGTTTAATTCGCCTATTTTTTCCACAAAAGCCCATTTTCAAATGGACTTTCGTAGATATCTGTCCTGGTCTCCTTGTATAGTCAATTCTGCGATCATCAACAATTTAGAATGGAAACAAGTTTCAAAGCCACCGTTGCCTAGGCACAGGTGGCTCACGGGACAGGCTGGATATCGTCTTGGGGATGAAAAGCATAGGGAACACTGTTTTTGCGGGATGAGGGTGAACGATAGTCTGCAATGAATGATTTGAATAAACAATCTTGCGTGCAATAAAGATGACGAAGCTATTAGAGTCATGTCGAGGTTTATCGAAAGTCAAAAGTGCATTTGCATTCCTTCTTGATTTGCTAGTAAGATTACTGAATAATCGAGATCCGAATTTTCATACAAAATTAGCTTTTCCGTCCAACGCGCCCCATTGTTCACTAGCTATGAGAAAGATGCGTACTGCCAGCACAGTTTAAAGCATTGCGAGGAGCCATCCCCCCCCCCCTTAACATTGTGCATGAGATTACCTCGAAACAACTCCACTTCGATTCACCGCATACTTGTATCAGTGAGACTCGAATGAGCTTTACCGTCCCTGTCAACATGAATATACGAAAATGCTTGGTTAAAGCATGGTAAGTTTTCGTTTCCTCGAAAACACGCCAACAAATCAATAAATCGACAGAGTAGCTTAGTGAATCGCCCCGAAAAGTAGCCCATAATCTGCGTCGGGGTTTAAAACATGTGTATGCAAAGCTCAAATGTTTTAGAACAGCGTTTCTATAAAGCATGATTTAACCAAAACATTAGAAGCTGAATTTTATATATTTGTAAATTAACCAAGTAAGAAAATTCTGAGGGTCGCCAATTCCATTCATGCCCATTAATCCAATTAAATTTTTGCACCTCTCCTCTTTACTGACAAGATTTTTCTCATTACTGTTTTCACATGCGTCACACACATGCATGCTCCCGGCTTTCAGCGAGTCCACACGTCAGAACTCACACCGCTATGCCGGCACGCCGCAGTTTTGTGCTCCATATTAACTCTTCGATGCTATAGTGACAGGGGACCAGAAGGGGGGATTGGGAGCAGGCACATGACTCGAGGCCATGGGCGACGGCCCAGGAGTTGCCAAAGCCTGGCCGCCTTTCCTTGCAGGGTTACTTAGCACCTCGAAGGCGTCCTCGCACTTTTAGACGGCTCCGCCCATTTGTCCGCCCATTGGCTATTCTCTTTAAGAGTTGTGCAAGCTTGGAGGAAAGTTCTCAAGTGCGCAATGAATAGTAAAGGATGGAAAGTGACAGACGATAAACTATGAAGTCTACCATTCGGGACATGTTGCCTCTGCAATATAGGGAAGATAAATTTGTTACCGAGCGATCTTTCAACTATGAGGCGTTAGTGCGGGCATCGCTTTGTCGAAAATAAGGGAAGTTCCGTTTCTCCGTTTTTCAGAAGAGATAACATATGTGCGTATGATTGTAAGTGTATCTATTGAGCAAGTTGCAGGTGTTCCAAATTCTTTCTGGCGTTGGGCTTTTCGACTTTTTGCGATTTTCGACTCGAGTTCGACCTTTTTTGATTTTTCGGACAATTGGGTTTTTATAGTTTTTGGTCACAACTTCGCATAGTTCAAGTATGCAAATTAAAACACTGCTTTGTACAGCTTGCGCTCTATCGAATATTTACTCACAGAATCTATATGCAATATGTGAAATATGACTTTTTAAAGAATTTGAATGACTGCTCAATACTGAAAATCCCTGACATTGCGTTACTATATGACCGGGTGTTCATGTTAATGAATGATAAGAAGGATCCTCCTTCGGAGAGGTTTGGTACTACTTTTGCAAAAAAAACTTAGCTAAAGCTATCCGCTGAAATTTTGTAGATTCTGTTTGCATGCCAGTAGTCAACCTACAGTCTGCCCCAATCCCAACCAGGAATAAATTGGCATGGCGGGAGCTTGCGTCATTCGAATTTCGCGGTCACGCTTATGACATGCTTCTCTGCTCTCTCATCAACCCTTTTGCTCTCTCCGACAGCACGCGTATGCAGCGCAGACCGTTAGCGCTGCGAGCGCGCAAATTTACACCGACGGTTCGGCCTGATCCCGATTGGAGCAGACTGTACTATACTTATTAGATTGAAGCCATTACGAGAATCTTAACCTAAGTTTATGGCTTGATCAAAAAAGTGGATTTTGCGCTTCAAGATGGTTATCCC